AGATATTTACATTGTCGTTTACCATGGGTTCCCCACCCCCATTTTATAATACCTCAAACACCATTCTTAAAAAGGGAGAGGGGGTCTTGTGGAGCCAAGCTTTGATGGAACTCCTTCAGCAAACATTTCACTAAAGAGGCCTCAACTAGGGTTGTCAACTCTGGGTTGGGAATTTCCTGGAGACTTGGGGGTTGTAGACTGGGGAGGAGTGGGGAGGGGAAGGAACTCTGCCAGGGGTGTGTTGCCAGAGAGACCACCCTCCAAAGCTGCTATTTTCTCTGTTGTAATTCTGGGAGATCTCCAGGCCCCACCTGGAGGTTGGAAACTTTATTGTCTACCAAGAAGGCTGCTACAAAATCAAAATAATAGCATCTAAAAAAGGGTCGGAGTTACTGTTACTAAGTGGTAGTGACTGTTTCCCATTATTATTTAACATTGTCACTTAATGCTAGTTCTGCTAAGGGCAATAACTATTTTTCTGGTTAAATGCTGAATGTAGAACAATGTTTTCTGAGGTACAGGCAGCAACATACGTCAGCAAACATTTTTAATGTTTTAATACCACCATCTTCTTTTTATAAGAAAGCCTTAACTAATTAAAAAAATTAAAATGTTTTTGCGTTCTTTCTTGGTATGTTATTTAATGTCTAAGACTTTGGCCATGCTAAAGTTTCTGGAACGTTAACATTTTGGTTTAAAACATGAACTTGCATCATTTCAAATGTAATACTGCAGTGCAGGGATGTGAAGCGAACTCTTAAGTAGTCCAGAATCTTGTTCTGGGATCTGTGCCTTACTTCCAGGGGAACTGCATCTATACAGTAGAACTGAATTGTTTTTAAAAAAACAAAGTAAATAAATTTATTTATTTATTTATTTGTTCGGCTTGATATACCACCCTAACCCCCGTGGGGGTCTCTGGGCGGTTTACATTGAGGGTGCTAGTCACAATTTATGTCCTAACTTTTGGCCACATTATTTAGAGGGGGATGGGATATCCTACCGGCACCCTAGTGGAGGCTGGTATTCTTCGGCTTGGCTTCATTCCCAGCTATGCAGTGGCTGTTGTTTTTGCTGGAGCTTGATCCGGCACGGAGATTGACGTCCTCCCCGGCCCCGGCTTGTGTCCTTCAGGCTCCGCCTGCGCTTAGGGATGACGTCATCGCGCGCCTTTTCTTGCTGTACGACAGCAATAAATAAATAAAAATGAAATTGTTTCACTGCATTTCCTGTGCATAGATTTCTAAATACTGTGACTAGGTGAATAGGGTGATAAGGATACCCCAGTTCATTGGTCGTGTTTCAGAAGTTAAATGGAAAGGCACTTTGTTAGAGGTGTGTGAATATGGAGAACATCTAGAGTATCAAGGAGGGAGGCCATAGAGCCTATTCTTTGTATGTCGAAGATCCTGGACTCAATGCATGCATCTCCAGCTAAAAGAAATGCAGGCAGTAAGACATCTATCTGAAATCCCCCAGCTTATTGAAGTAGAGTTTCCACTCCAGGTCAGAAAATAGCTGGAGATTTAGGGGTGGAGCTGGGGAAGGGACCTCAGCAGGATGTAATACCGTGGACTCCACCTTCCAAATCTGCTGTTTTTTCTAGAGGTACTGATTTTAGTAGTCTGGAGATTATTTGCAATTCTTGGAGAAATCCCCAGGCCTCACATGGAGGCTGGTAACCCCAACTGGAAGTGGTCACCAGAGCTAAGTGAATTGACCAAACTCTATAGCGGTTGGGAATTTGTTCTCCCCTTTTGCTAAACTTTGAAAAGCCGAGAACAAAAAATAATCACAGAATACTCCTCGTTTCCAGTGTCCTCTATTGGTGGATTATTCTTCATTTCATTTGCTTCCTCTCCAGGGAACTCTGACTACATGTAGGGATGCCAGTCTCCATCTGGGACCTGGGGATCCACCGGAATCACAGCTCATCTCCAGACTGCAGAGATCAGTTCTCCTGGAGAAAATGGATGCTTTGGAGGGTGGACTCTATAGCATTGTACCCCACTGAGGTCCTGTCCTCCCCAGGCTCCATCCCCAAATCTCCAGGAGTTTCCCAACCTGCACCTGGCAACCCTACCCCCAAGGGGATCTGGTGACCCTAGACTACCAAGGGTTTTTTTTTAAAGGCTACATAGGGGTTTTTACATGACCTCAAGAACTGGAGAAGATTTCAAGAATAGCACACTTATGCATTACTACATCCCACCATATCTTCAAAACTAGCCCCTTGTGAATTAAAAAGTGTGTGTGCTTTCAGCAGACAAAATCTTCTAGTTTCTGTGTTGTAACAGATAGATGCACTTTACCTACAATCTGTTAATTGTGGGATCATGGCGATGTCCATCTATGGGGCTTCAATGGAAAAAAAAAATCTTGGTTTTCATGGAAAATTGGGACATAACCCCCAGTGTAAACTTCTGACTGTTCGGTGCATCTCCAGTAGTCCCCACTCTTCTGTGGAAGCTTGCCAGATGACATTGGGAGAGTTACACACTTTCAGCCTGCCTTACCTCACAAGATTGCTATGAGGATAAAATGGAGAAAAAGAGAATGGTGTCAGCCAGTGCTCCCTCTAAGCTGTGGAGTCTTGTGAACAAAGATTCCATTTTATGAGCTACTGCCATTAAAGTAGTGAGTGAGCGATTTGGCTACCGCATAAATTAGTTTGCTCTGGAGCCATCCTTCCTGAGCTAAGACAAAAATGTGTGAGCCAGAGGCTAAAAAAACTGTGAGCTAGCTCACACTAACTTAGCTTAGAGAGAACACTGGTGTCAGCCACTTTGGGACCTTATTGGGGAAGAAAATACAGTATAAAGGAAATAAATGAAATAAATGGCATGAATACATAGGTTTTCATTCCCATTCCTGAATGTTGAGCTAGATCAGAAAATGGCAGCTTCATATCTTTTGCTATGAATGATGCTAACATTTCAACTTGTTCTCATAGCCAGTCTCCATATGAGTTTCCATTTAGTACATTCCAATCCTTTCTCTAATTTTTCTACATATGAGTAGTGAGGACATGCTCTGACCTGAATGGCCCTATCTATCCATATCTCATCATATAGCCCTGATTAGTATTTGGATGGGAGACCATCAAGGAATTCCAAGGTTACCTTGCAGACAAAGGCAAATCACCTCTGTTAGTCTCTTGTACTGAAAACCCTACAGGGTCTCCATAAGTGGGCTGCAACTTGACGGCACTTCACACATACAGGGTTAGCAGGCCCTGCTCCCATCCACCGGTCAACTGGCCAATGCAGAATTTACCAGGAGAAAGAGGAAGGCCCAGATCACATCACCAGTCTCACAGAGGAAGTGATGATTTGCCTATTTTGTTTATTAGAATATTTCTATGCTGCCTCTTCACAGTCTTGCTTGAGGTGGTTTACAGTTAAAAACCACAGTATTACACCCAAGCCATTAAAACATTAATACAGCAAAAGTTGTTTCTTGGTCTTAGAACTGCAGTTTAAAACATTTCCATGTTATCCTAAGCATTCAGCTGCCTAGCCGTAAGCGGTTCTGATCCTCTTTATTTATGTTATATATGTTACTTGTGCTATTTCCAGTCTGCCTTTCTCCTGTTACTCGGCGGATTAAACAGAGTCCGTACAATCGACAGGAAGGGGCATTCAGTAAAACAATTAAATAGGATTAGGGTTGTAGAAGTCTGGAACTGACCAGAAATCTGGAAGAAGAAAAAAATGAAGCAAAGCATTAATATTAAGACAACACATGCAAAAATTACATAGTAGGATCCTACAGCAAGTTATATGCAGTAATATAGACCTCAGTCCCTAATCGTCTATCCCAGAAGTGTCGAACTCATTTGTTACGAGGGCCAGATCTGACATAAGTGTCACTTTGTTGGGCCGGGCCATGTGTGCCATAAAACATAATGTCAGATATCGGAGAGATAAACTGTATAGAGGACAGCAGTTGGTAAGCTCCGAGTTGTTATATCCTCACTGCAAGGCCCCGTGGGCTGGGAGCAGTGTTCCCTCTAAGCTGAGTTAGTGTGAGCTAGCTCACAGTTTTTTAGCCTCCAGCTCACACATTTTTGTCTTAGCTCAGGAAAGATGGCTCCAGAGCAAACTAATTTTATGCAGCAGCCAAACTACCTGCTCACAACTTTAATGCCAGTAGCTCACAAAGTAGAATTCCTGCTCACAAGTCTCCACAGCTTAGAGGGAACATTGGCTGGGAGGGGGGTGCAAAGGAAAACCCGTATGGGAAGACTGGAGAGCCAGCGGTGCAGCACTGGGCAGACGCTCCCACGCTTCTTGACTGCCAATTAGGTTCCGCCATGCTGAAGCAACAATCGGAAAGGCTCTACACACTCTCCCCCAAGTGGCCTCCTGTTCCCTCCCTTGCATTAGTTGCTCAGGGGCGGCATAAGAGACCCGGATGGGCCGGTCCCGGTCCCCGGGCCTTATGCTTGACACCTCCGATCTATCCAAGTAACTTTGTAAACTGTTCTGTACAGGGCAACCCTGTTACCTGTGTAGAAAAGCCCTCTTGAATAATTCAGCTTAAGGGCAGCTAGAGGCACCTCACGGAAACACAAGCAGTGGAGTCCTAAGCAGAGTTATCCACTTCTCAGTCCACAGAAGTCATTGGGCTCAGAAGGGTATAACTCTGGTTAGGATTGCATTGCAGGCCAGTCAGTGGCACCAAGTCAGGCAGAGAAGAGAGGAAGAAGAAACAAACGCAAGACTTCTGGGTGAAGCTGAGCAACACTCCCGGTCCGTTGTGCTGACAGAGCCATTGCTAGTATTACATGAAATGGGATGTATTTGTTTCATGTTTTCTGATGGTGGCGTGTGCCTGTTCTTAATTTGATTTGATTTTCTGTATCGAATTGAGTTGTTTGCTCACCAGTGAACAACAATGGCTATATTCCAAATACAGAAGTGTGAAAGCAAAATTGCCTTATGGGAGCGTCAAGGTAAATGGAACTGACTGTGCCTTACACATTTTTTGTGTTGTAGACACTATAAGAAGCGTTGCCAGGGTCGTATGCGGAAGCACGTTGGCGACCTCTGCCTGCAAGCTGGGATGTTACAGGATTCCCTGGTCCACTACCACATGGCCGTGGAGCTTCTCCGTTCTGTAAATGACTTTTTGTGGCTCGGAGGTAGGAATGGCTGGAAATAAACCACAAGTGTGCTTAAAACGCCTCATGACACAGCTCTGGGGGCTTTTGTGATGCCCACCTTCTGTGGCTTGTTGTTGTTCAGTCGCACAGTCGAGTCCGACTCTTTGCGACCCCATGGAGCAGAACACGCCTTAGAGAGGGGGGGAAAATTAACTCAGAAATACAGGTTTACCCCCCCTTATCATATCTATTGTAGTTCTACTTTGTTTGGCTTCTGAAGTCTCCAGCTGTGAGAGGGGGGAAAAATTAACTCAGAAATACAGGTTTACCCTCCCCTTATCATATCTATCGTAGTTCCACTTTGTTTGGCTTCTGAAGTCTCCAGCTGGGTGGGATGGGTATTGTGGGATTCTCTGGATTTTTGGAATGCGAGATAGCCATAGCATCCTTGAACAGTCTTTTCATAGCACAAGAAGTGCATTGTAGAAAAGGTGGGTGACAACTGAATCTATTCGTTTGTTAGAATGCTTATATCCCATTTGGTGCAGTGGTTAAGAGTGGCAGGACTATAATCTGGAGAACCGGATTTGATTCCCCACTCCACATGAAGCCAGCTGGGTGACCTTGGGTCATTCACAATTCTCTCAGAGCTCTCTCAGCTGCACCTACCTCACAGGGTGTCTGTTGTGGGGAGAGGAAGGGAAGGTGATTGTAAGTTGCTCTGAGACTCCTTCGGGTAGTCAAGGGCGGGGTATAAAACCAACCCCCCCTCCTCCTCTTACAATAATAGTTTAAAAACATTTCCACTTAAAACCAGAAATAAAATAGCAGACCCTCTCAAAAGCCCTGGCAAACAGGCTGGCCTCACGGTGCCTGCTGAAGCTCTCCAAGGAGGGCCCCCACTCCTTACCTCTTTAAGGGAGTTTATTCCACAGAGCTGGATCCATGATGGAAAAGGCCCAGGCTCTGGTTGATGCCACACGTCCCACTCTAAGTGGTGGGATGCTCAACAGATGCCTGCCTGATGACCATTGTTGGCACAGGGGGACATATGGAAGTAGATGGCCCTTCAAAAATGTGGGCCCCAAGCCATGCAGGGTTTTAAAAGTCATAACCAGCACCTTGAACTGAATGGCAGCCAATGTAGCTGTTTCAAAATGGGCAACCTGTTTCCAGAAGCCAGTCCCTCTAGTAGTTCTTTCATCTTCTGTAGATGCTTCTAGTGTCAACTACATTGCCCTCTCCCAAGTGCTGGGGAGGGGCTGTGTCTCAGTGGTAGAAATCTGCTTGGTGTGCCTGGTTCAATCCCCAGCATCTCCAGGTGTTTTTTTTTTTTAAACAACAACAACAACAAAGGATCTGGCAATAGACTTCTGCCTTGGGACCCTGGAGAGCTACTGCCAGTCTGAGTAGACAGTGTTGACCTTGATAGACCTATGGTCTGATTCAGTATAAGGTAACTTCACGAGTTTGAATTTTGAATGCCTTACCATTCTATCTGCCTAGATCTGCCTTAGTCCTTGGCTGTATATCTATGATATTTTGGAATAATTTGAGTGGGATGTGATACCACTGTTATTTTAATCCCCCCCCCAATCTGTAGCTGCTCTTGAAGGATTATGTTCAGCCTCTGTTATCTATCACTATCCTGGAGGCACCGGAGGAAAAATTGGTCCTCGCAGGGCTCACGGGAGCTCACTTCCTGCAGAGGCAGGCAACAGGCACAGACCAGGTAAGAACTGAAGTGTGCTCTGCAATGTAAATTTTCTTCCCAGTGTGTTCAATAAAATAATCATTTGGTGACATGTTCTAGTCTTCCGTATTGCTTGCTGGAGCTAAGGAGGTGATGGCTTAGCTCCCACAATAAGATTCTGCAAAAAGAAGAGGGAAAAGTTATGCCAGTTCTCCCCTTATACCTTTCCTGGGGATATCCGGGCCCTCAGCCATAGTATTCCGGGGATCATTTTGGTCTACAGAGGGAAGTGAGAAAGTCCTGTTTTACTGATGGAAATCCCTTCCATCAAGAGGGATTTACTGTGGGATCAAAGCCTTTCTGTTCACAGTATGACCATACCACATGGTAACCTTTGTAGAATAGCTAGATTTGAGTCCAGTAGCACCTTAAGAGACCAACAAGATTTTTGAGGTATGAACTTTCAAGAATCAAAGCTCCCTTTGTTATATCTGATGAGCCAGTTTGGTGTAGTGGGTTAAGTGGTTAAGACTCTAATCTGGGAGAACGGGGTTTGGGTCCCCACTCCTCCACTTGCACCTGGTGGATGACCTTGGGTCAGTCACAAGTTATTTCAGACCTGTTCTCTCAAGTGCAGTTCTGGAGAGAGCTCTCTCAGCCCCACCTACCTCACAGGGTGTCTGTTGCAGGGAGGGGAAGGGAAAGGAGTTTGTAGGGTCCCGGTCACACGGGCTGGAAAACGTGGGCGGGAAGCGTGGCTGTTTGCCCCGGAGCAAAGTAACGCACGGCAGCCCTATCACATGTCCCATCGAGGTCCCATGGTTAGGCCGCTAGGTGCCGATCACACGGCTATCCTGAGGCACGGCAAAGAAGCAACGTGGCGCGATCAAACCGGCAATCGCTAGGCGCCGCTTCCATGGCAAACGGGAATTTTTTTCACACCAGAGTTTGCGCATGCGCATGATTGTTTGTGCGCATCCTGTGGAGACCGGATGCCACGGGATTCAAGTGGAAACGCAATCAGACGTCCACCCTTGCCCCGCGTTTTACGGAAACTAGTATATCGTATGTGGTATTTTTATATTCCGCGTCTTCGACGAGAAGCCACAGGTTAGCCACGGGTGTACTACGCTTCCCAGATGTTGCAGTATGATCGCGCATCGAAAATCCGCCTATCATCCGTGTCTTTAGCGCGGCAACTTCTCCGTGTGAACGGGACCTTAGTCGCTCTGAGACTCCTTTGGGTAGTGAATGGCGGGGTATAAATCCAATCTCTTCTTATTCTTCTTTGACTCTTGAAAGCTCATACCCCAAATACCTTGGTGGTCTGTAAGGTGTTCCTGGACTCCTATCTAGCTGTTCTACTGCAGCTCAACACTGGTACCCTCTGAAACCTTTGTAGAAAAGTCCTGCAGATTTTATTTTGGCAATAGTCTGTCCCCATGCAGAAGGCAAGGTGAGAGTAAAAAAGGCTGGTTGATGTATCTTCTATATGAGAGGTGGAACAGAGTCTGCAGAGAAGTGAGTGGCACTGCAGATGAAATCGTTGAGAAGGAAATACACAGATGTACCTTGCAGCCTCAGGTTGGCAGAGGCAGCCCAGTTAAGTCAATCAAAAGCCACTTTGCTACACTTAGCCTTGAGGCCAATCATTTTCCATTTCTGTGTTAACTTGCCATTTGCAGACTGTTCTGGTATTGGTGATGACATGGGCACTGTACAATACGAACGACATTCACATAACTGTATTGCACTCAGCAACAGTAAGGTATTCATTTTCCAAGCAAGCATATGTGCTAATTTGATGAGAGATATCTAAGTGTTAACTTGCCATTTGCAGACTGTTCTGGTATTGGTGATGACATGGGCACTGTACAATACGAACGACATTCACATAACTGTATTGCACTCAGCAACAGTAAGGTATTCATTTTCCAAGCAAGCATATGTGCTAATTTGATGAGAGATATCTAAATATCTAATAGCCAAGTTGCCCCCTTCATGCGGATATCTAAATCTGCACATTGGGGGCACTTGTGGGGCAGAGAGATTTTCCTGCACACTTGGAACAGTCCCCAGGTGTGCAGAAAAATCTAAAAAGTTGAAAAAAGTATATGGGGGATACTTAAATCCCCCCAAAATTCTCACCCTTGCCTTCGCAGGGGGGAGGGTAGGGTTGCCAGCCTCCAGGTGGGGCCTGGGGATCTCCCGCTTTTACAACTGATCCCCAGCCGAAAGAGATCAGCTCCCCTGGAGAAAATGGCTGCTTTGGAGGGTGAACTCAATGGCATTGTACTGTGCAGAGGCCCCTCCCCTCCCCAAACCCCTCCCTCTCCTGGCTCCACCCCCAAAGTCTCCAGGTATTTTCCAAACCAGACTTGGCAACCCTAGGGGAGGGAGAAGGCTTGGCAGGTCGCTGCTGCTGCCACGGGGGGGAGCGCTTGGTGGGGGAGGGAGAAGGTTTGGAAGGCCCCGTGGTTGGGAGCCGCACAGGCCTCGCCACTGGTGCCGGGGGTTGGGGGAGAAAGCTCACCTGTGGCTGCTTCCTCTTCCTCCTTCTCCACGTGGAGCTCCCCCCCCACGAGTATTGCGGGTCCCCCTTCTTGACACATACTATTAACAAACATGAGCGCCTCAGTAAATGGAAGACGTCCTTAGATCATGAAGAAAAGGTCTCACGATAAGACTTTGCCACGTGGAGGAAACAATATATATGTGTGTGTTTTAATTGCATCTATACGAGGATATTAATAGTCAATAATCATTATTTTATATCTTTATTGCAACAAAAGTCTGAGGAGCTGTACTTGGGATGTAAAATTAATCATGGTTCCATGACTAAGTATGCATCTCATGATTAATAGACTGTGACCGAATATATTACTATTGTGAATTAAACGATCTGGTATTTGTTCTTATTATGCAAATATACAGAAATACTCCTCTGGCTATAGATCTAAAATAAATTAAATTCCATTAGGACTTCCTTTTATTAGCTTTGCAAAGCTCTCCGTGAACTTTTTGGGAGACTCTGTGAGACTGTTCTAATCCTTTACGCACTTACTTGGGGGAATAAGTCCCATGACACTCAGTGAGACTGACAAAAACTCACACGGAAAAAAGTGTCACTGAGTTCCATGGGATTTACCAGGCAGGTTAAGGGTTGTGGTGGATTTAAGGACTGAGAGTGGGATCAAGTACCTGATTACATGTTCGGTTTCACCCGGGAACTTTCCTGTGTCAAGCGTAGAGTTGTGTCCTAAAGTTCCATGATTCCCAAACAATCACAGTCCCAAATCGTATGAGGGGGGCAGTGTTCCCTCTAAGCTGAGTTAGTGTGAGCCAGCTCACAGTTTTTTAGCCTCTGGCTCACACATTTTTGTCTCCGCTCAGGAAGGATGGCTCCAGAGCAAACTAATTTATGCAGTAGCCTAATCGCTCACTCACAACTTCAATGCCAGCAGCTCACAAAGTAGAATTTTTGCTCACAAGACTCCACGGCTTAGAGGGAGCATTGGAGGGCGGTAGTATGTAGAGAGAAGGGTTCTTATCCTGAAATGGCCTGCGGAAGGGTACTGTTTATCTCATTGGCGCTACGTTTGTACTGATGAGCTATACGTTTACTTCTCCACAGTGGGACATATTACGCCCTTGGGCCAATTTCAGCTCAGGAAAACGATGCAGAGGCAGGGTCTCAGTGCCATTTCTCCGTATGCCACGGTCCTGATCTGAACTGTGCCTTTGCATGCCTGGGAGGTATGGAACTTCAGAACGGGCTTCTCCACTTGTCATTTCTGGGGGAAACGTCATGTATAGTTTGACCTCCCAAACTGACATGGTTGCAACATGTGTAGACTTCTTTGATAATAGATACCTTGCAAAGTTGTCATATAGGCAAGGCAGACTGCATTGAAGGTTTTGAGCATGCAAGTGATATAAAATAAGCCAAGACAGATGTGTAGCCAGTGGAGTTTTATCCTCTGTCCATCAGAGGGTAGCAGTCAGCAGGCTGTGCACACACTTTTAAAGAGCCAGGGCTGATCTTTGCTATTTCAGGATACACGCTAAGCTTTCCTCCTCCCCACCCTTTAAATGAGCACATAGCGCAGAATGAGGAAAGAGATGCAGAATGTGGTTTCTGTTCCAAAGAGGTGGCTGTGCTACGTCTGCTGCTGCCAAAACAGTGGATTCTCGTGATGTCTTAAAGACTGACAGATTTATTGTGGCATAAGACAGAGCTCATTTCAGCAGCAACATCTGCATCAGATTATAATGGGTGGCTGTGTCCATGTCCCAGAAGGGGTCCATCAGTGGGAGAGACTAGCTTGCCTTAGGCAGCAAGGCGGATCCATCAAAGAAGGGAGATTTGAACTGGGGTGTGTGTGTCCCCTGATTCATAGCTCAGTCTCAGGAGCTCAGATCCTGTTGTCTTAAAGAGCCATTATCTCTTAAGGCTTCAGTATAGAGTACGCTTGCATCCTGGTTTGCCACATGCTGGGGGTGAGTAGCAAATCCCAACAGTGCCATCCTAAGCTGAGTTACACCCTTCTTTGTCCATTGAAGTCAACAGGCTTAGAAGCACACCACTCTGTTTAGGATGGCACTGTAAAGCTGACAAAGAGTTAAAGCAAAGCTTGGCATTGTTATGCATTTGCCATCCTTGCAGATGAGCCCGTGAGAGCTACCAGAGTTCTTACCCACAGGCATCTTTGTTTAATCATTTGCAGCATATAGATGGCCCCAAAAGAAAAGAGAGAAGAGAGGGCGCTTTTGCAAAAAACTTCCATGCTTACTTCCCCAGAGGCAATCCTTTACCCCAAGGGGCAGCCAGGCACATGGTCCTGGATTTCAGCTTCAATGCTAAAATGGCAAATGGACCTTCTGAAGAGTTTCACATGTGGTTCTATAAATGCTGTCAGTCATAGATTCAAAAGAGCGTGCAATGGATCAGGTTGTCCAATAACCGTCTGCCTGAGGTCTGTCATGAGAGAGAGCCTGTACAGATGACCAGATGGGGAACTGTATAAATGCTGCAGGTGTTCTGCCCCCCCCTTTTAAGGCACATCTGCCGGGTGAAAATAGTTATTGGTGTGAAGTCATCTGCAGATCCATGTAAAACAGCTCCACTTGTCACAAGCCACACAGCAACTGATGTGTTCCCCTTTTATTGCAGTCTCAATGTTTTGTAAGATTTTTTTCACTGATTGCTTCTTTGCACTGTTAAAAAAATAGTTTAGTTTATTTTGGCAATGCTGAAGGTTAATGCTATCACTTTGGTTTCCCTTAGGGGCACAAGAAGTACTCATTGATCCAGGTATATTTATAAAGTGTTGTTTTAAAATATATATATTTTTGTCTTAAAGTTTCCCCCCCCTAGTACTGCTATTTTTTAAACATGGTACTAGCATGGTTTATCCTTAGCTGTTTTCCCCCCATTGCACAAGCAGTCAGTGTAGTGCCCACTCCCAAGCCATGAACATATGCAGTGGAACATTTTATTTTATTTTTTAAAAAATATTGATTTATGAAAGTGCGTATATACACACACAGTATAAATAACATAATATTGCAGATATAAAAACCAGACATTGATGACAAAATCCTGCAAAACAAGGGAGGTTTATGTATTTGTATCTAAGTTTCATAAGATCAATAAATAGCTTTTCGGCAGAACTTCTTCCCTTCCCGAAGCTTTATACATTCTGCCAGTTGTGCACTCATGGTTACTGTCTAGATTGTTTTAAAGCCAAGTAGTTTGTGCTGGAAGTTCAGCATGATACCTTTTATCTGCTGCTAGAATTCTGACGTCAATAGATTCCAGTCAAAAGGAAGGGAGAAAGGGAGCTAAAAAGACAGAGGAAATAGAGAGAATAGTCACCTGAATTTTCTGTTTCTTCCTTCCTTTATTTTAAAGACACATGGTGGCTCCTTGTGTGTTTCCTTTCACAATCTCTCTGTTCCCATGCAAGTTTCATGTTGAAATAAAATAAATCCAGCCATCAGATTTTAAATTCCCCCCCCAACCCCCCCCCCAAAAAAAACTTGGTCCAGTGGTTTGGATCCTGTGGTTTTGCTGTGTGATGGATCTACTGTTAGATTCGTCATTTAGAGGGAAGGAACCATTGGATACAAGCCAGTATTCAGGAAAAAAGTCGATACATCACATAGATTTGTGGGTTTTAAGTTACTTTTTAAAAAAGTCCTTAGTGCCCCCTCCCCCATTATTAGAGGATCACACAGTATTGAAATACTTGGGTACTCTGTTTTTACAGTTACTTTGGAAATTTAAATTCTTTCTAATGCAGCCTGTATAATAAAAGTTATTTTTTTTCTTTTTAGTTTTTCTGTTTGCTAACAAGGAATTAATTTAAAATATTAATATTGTTAAGTAGCATTTTTTTTTTGTTATTTGTATTTGTTATCTGTTTAATCGCCTTAACTGTCAGAAGGTTTTCCAGAAGTTTTTTGTTGAGTTTTATTGGTATTTCAGTAGCATACAGTGTAGTGGGGAGAGTTTCGCACTAGGATCTGGGAGACACCGGTTCGAATCCCCACTCTGCCATGAAACTCCGCCTGAGATGACCTTGGGCTGGTCTGTTTCTCAACCTATCCTATCTCACAGGATAGTTGTTGTCGGGATAAAATGGAGGTGGGGTAACAGCATTGTAAGCTGCATTGGGCCCCCATTGGGGTTGCCAGGTGGACTCACCTGGCTGGTGGGGGGCTCCCAGCTCACTTCCAGGAGACCAGGAGTGGTTTTGGGCCACTTCTGGTAGAACTGGAAGTGCCCGCCCTGACATGCTGACATCACTCGGAAGGGACGTAGGAGCCAGTTTGGTGTAGTGGTTAAGTGCGCTGACTCTTATCTGGGAGAACCGGGTTTGATTCCCCACTCCTCCACTCGCAGCTGCTGGATGACCTTGGGCAAGCCGTAGTTCTGGCACAGCTGTTCTTGAAAAAGAGCAGCTTCTGTCAAGAGCTCTCCCAGCCCCACCTACCTCACAGGGTGTCTGTGGTGGGGAGGGGAAGGGAAAGGAGTTTGTAGGCCGCTCTGAGACTCCCTTGGGTAGGGACGGGCCGGGTATAAATCCAATCTCTGCTTCTCGTCAGGGATGTCTGGAGGTGATACTCTGGTATTTGGGCAAACTCTGTAGTAAATTTGGCCAAATTTTCCATAGCGTTTACCCAAATACCAGAGCGCCACCCCCAGATGCCCCTGATGTGCCTATGTCACTTCCAGGTGACATCAGCGTGTCTGGGTGGGCACTTCCAGTTTTACCGGAAATGGTCTGAAAAATTTCATTTGGGGGTAGGATCCCCCCCCCCGCTCATCGGCAGCAGGGAAGCACCCCCCAAAAGCAGGCGTTCCCCTGCCCCTAGTGGGGGTCTGGGAATCTTTTCCCCATTGGAGAGTGAAGTGGTATATAAATATAGAACATAAAAAGCAAGCAAATATTAGTCGACTGTAGCTCCTTATCAGTTGACAATTAAGTTATGTTGTTTTCCAAGAGGTTGTTTTCCGTATGCTTACTTTAACAACCAATATATCCTTGCTAATTCTTCTTTGCACAGTGTTTAAAAAAGCAGCCTTTCTCTAACAAATCAATCCGTGCATTGGGAAATTAAACGTGTGTTATTCATTAGCTTCTCCCCCCAGTTGGCCAGTTAAAAGAAAAGCTGCCTATTAAAACTTGCCAGTCCCGGAGACGTTTAATCCCCTGACAGACAAGTCTTTGTTTTTACTCTGACCTTGTTTGCATTAAACGAGACCCACTGTTAACTTGAAAAATGTCTGTTTCTCTTCAATATAGGTGCCCTCACATCAAATGGTATCAATGCAGATACCAGTACTGAAATAGGGCGTGCGAAGAACTGTCTTAGCCCTGAAGACATTATAGATAAATACAAAGAGGCCATTTCCTACTACAGCAAGGTAATGTTGCTGCCTTTATATGAGGGGTTGTATTTGGTATTTGAAACAAAATCAATTAAACCATTACATTTGAGTATAGTGGCACCTTAGAGAGCCAGTTTGGTGTAGTGGTTAAGTGCGCGGACTCTAATCTGGGAGAACCGGGTTTGACTCCCCACTCTTCCACTTGCACCTGCTGGATGACCTTGGGCAAGCAATAGTTCTGGCACCACTGTTCTTGAAAAAGAGCAGTTTCTGTCAGAGCTCTCTCAGCCCCACCTACCTCACAGGGTGTCTGTTGTGGGGAGGGGAAGGGAAAGGAGTTTGTAAGCTGCTCTGAGACTCCTTTGGGTAGTGAAGGGCGGGGTATAAATCCAATCTCCTCTTCTTCTTCTTCTTCGAGACCAACAAGAGTTCCAGGGTATAAGTTTTGTAGGTCGAAGCACCCTTCATCAAGTATCCTTAATCAGGCAGCAGGTTTTCTCCAGGCCAGTTTAGCCAGTGATACTGGAGGTTTTTTGCCATCTTCTGGGTATTGAGCAGAAGTCACTGGGTGTGTGTGTGTGGGGGGGTATTTGTGAATTGCCTGCATTGTGCAGAGGGTTGGACTAGATGGCCCTTGAGGCCCCTTCTAACTCTTATGATTCTGTGATTCTAGGTACCTCTTTCAAAGGGAGCTTTGACTCTCGAAAACATGTACCCTGAAACTCCTATTGGTTTCTAAGGTGCTATTAGACTTGAATATACCTGTTTTACTGCAGACCAACTTGGCTACCTTCTGAAACTGAAATCAGTCCCCAAAGCTTACACTCTCTCCCTCCAATGGTGTTGGTGGAAGCTGTAAAGGCAGATAACATAGGAGATATAAGGAACTGATTAAGAAGGGACAGAAGGAAAGCTCTCAATTAGATCAGTAGCATCCAGCATCTCTCCTAAGGTGCCATATTGTCAAACGGCCCAGCCCTTGCTGGATTCATGTCTATTTCTTTGTGGGGAAGGGCTGTGGCTCAGTGGCAGAGCCTCCGCTTGGCATGCAGAAGGTCCCCAGATTCAGTCCCCAGCATCTCCAGTTTAAAAGCAGCAGGCTTTTGGATGTGGAAGGCTCTTGCCTGACCCTGGAGAGCCACTGCCTGTCTGAGTCGACAATATCAGCATAAGACAACTTTATGTATGTCCGTGTGTGGTGTGGCCTATAAGCACGCCAATGAGTCAAAAGAAAGCTGTTGAAGCACATCTTTGTGGTGAGTCTGTAGAGTGTTCAGGCCAGTTCCCCACAGGGTATTGTCCTTCCCTGCTAATGGGCTTCCCAAAGACATCAGGCTGCCTAGTATGAAATGGCCTGACAGTCTGAGCCAGCAGGACTTTGCTCATGTGTCCTGTATTGGGAACCTGCAGAATGTGATCTTTGTTCCAGTTTTAACAGTGTCGCAGAATTCCTCTGTTCATCTGGAATACACTCCTTAGTGATGGATGTTGAAGCATATGAGAGAACTTGTAGCTGATTCTGATAGGCACACCTGATGTCTGTGTCTTCCGAAGGGAAACGGCGTACAACACGAGATCAAATAGGAGAACTCGCATAGAGCAAGCCGTATGCTATTTTACAAAATTTAACCCAGCTTTCTTCTGATCGGGGCGGGGGGGGACGTGCGTCTGCTTCTGACCCCCCCGTTTCCGAGTATTCTATAGCCTCGACATTGCTAGAGGAAAGTGCTTTTTAATACACGCAAGCAATCTGAAAATGGATGCTATAAATCCTTTGTGCAGTATTTAAAACTACTAGGCAGCAGTAAGAGGAGGGGGTGAGTAATAATAGCATCTTGGCTGCCATCCCAGGCTTCATTCTGTAGCGTTTTAGAGAACTTGTAGGTATTCTTTAGATATGGAGCTATTGTAAGTAATGACACTGTGGAAAAGTCTTCTTTGCTAGGTTGTTATGCTCTGTGCTACTTTATTTACTTTTCAGTCTCTGGTTACGTTTTATCTGAATAGTCACGTTTTCAGTAGCATCCAGCATCTCTCCTAAGGTGCCATATTGTCAAACGGCCCAGCCCTTACTGGATTCATGTCTATTTCTTTGTGGGGAAGGGCTGTGGCTCAGTGGCAGAGCCTCTGCTTGGCATGCAGAAGGTCCCCAGATTCAGTCCCCAGCATCTCCAGTTCAAAAGCAGCAGGCTTTTGGATGTGGAAGACCTCCGCCTGAGACCCTGGAGAGCCACTGCCCGTCTGAGCCGACAATATCGATGGACCGATGGTCTGATTCAGCATAAGACAACTTTATGTATGTCCGTGTGTGGCCTATAAGCACGCCAATGAGTCAAAAGAAAGCTGTTGAAGCACTTCTTTGTGGTGAGTCTGTAGAGTGTTCGGGCCAGTTCCCCACAGGGTTTTGTCCTTCCCTGCTAATGGGCTTCCCGAAGACATCAGGCTGAGATGGCCTGACAGTCCAAGCCAGCAGGACTTTGCTCACGTGTCCTGTATTGGGAACCTGCAGAATGTGATCTTTGTTCCAGTTTTAATAGTGTCACAGAATTCCTCTGTTCATCTGAAGTACACTCCTTAGTGATGGATGTTGAAGAATATGAGAGAACTTGTAGCTGATTCTGATTGGTACACCTGATGTCTGTGTCTTCCGAAGGGAAACGGCGTACAACATGAGATCAAATAGGAGAACTTGCATAGAGCAAGCCGTGTGCTATTTTACAAAATTTAACCCAGCTTTCTTCTGATCGGGGGGGGGTGTGTGTGCGTGCGTCTGCTTCTGACCCTCCGTTTCCGAGTATTCTATAGCCTCGACATTGCTAGAGGAAAGTGCTTTTTAATACACGCAAGCAATCTGAAAATGGATGCTATAAATCCTTTGTGCAGTATTTAAAACTACTAGGCAGCAGTAAGAGGAGGGGGTGAGTAATAATAGCATCTTGGCTGCCATCCCAGGCTTCATTCTGTAGCGTTTTAGAGAACTTGTAGGTATTCTTTAGATATGGAGCTATTGTAAGTAATGACACTGTGGAAAAGTCTTCTTTGCTAGGTTGTTATGCTCTGTGCTACTTTATTTACTTTTCAGTCTCTGGTTACGTTTTATCTGAATAGTCACGTTTTTCGTCTGGATGGCCAAGACAACTATGCCTGCCAGACAGGTCCTATTAAAACTGAATCAAGGTTTTAGTGCTGCAGCCCCGCTTCTCTTCCCAATCAGCGTTGCCAACCTCCAGGTGGTGGCTGGCGATCTCCTGGTATTACATCAGATCTCCAGGCTACCAAGATCAGTTCCCCTGGAGGAAAATGGCTCCCCTCCCCTCCCCAAACCCTGCCCTCCCAAGGCTCTGCCTCCAGAATCTCCAGGAATTCCCCAACCAGGAGCTGGCAGCCCTGCTTCCCATAGAAGAAGAAGAAGAAGAGAAGAGAAGATACTGGATTTATACCCCGCCCTTCACTACCCAAGGGAGTCTCAGAGCGGCTTACAAACTCCTTTCCCTCCCCCTCCCCACAACAGACACCCTGTGAGGTGGGCGGGGCTGAGAGAGCTCTGACAGAAACTGCTCTCTTTCAAGAACAGCTCTTATCAGAGCTATGGCTTGCCCAAGGAGGTCATCCAGCCAGGTACAAGTGGAGGAGTGGGGAATCAAACCCGGTTCTCCCAGATTAGAGTCCGTGCACTTGACCACTACAGCAAACCGGCTCTCTTAGAATCTGGCACTACGTATAGAAGTTGTTTTGAAATGGTATGGAGGCCCATAACTGAATGGTGCTGTTTCAGTCCACTCTATTTTCCTTTTCCTCTTGTTTCCTAGTACAAGAACGCTGGCGTGATTGAGCTGGAAGCCTGCGTGAAGGCCGTGCGGGTCCTGGCAATACAGAAGAGAAGCATGGAGGCTTCTGAGTTCCTCCAGAATGCTGTTTATATTAACCTTCGTCAGGTGAGAGAGTAACTAATGCAAAGCTGATATCTGTAACTGGGTTTATACGTCAGACTGCTTTATGTGTTCAGATTGTAACGGCCTTTGGCCATAGATACTAAACTTTACCTGTACCTGTGAAAGCCTTTCACTGATCAGCACTTGAACTTCACTTACTTTTCTGCCTCAGGTTAGGAGAAAATGATTACCATACCTATAGCATGCAGGGTTCATTTCCTGCAGGAGCGCACAGGAGTGGAGCTCTGGCAGTAAAGAGCCCAGGGGGCGGGCACATGCAACAAGCCCCGCCCCCTGCTCCCAGTAGCCCTCAGTCAGAGCAAGAAGCAGCCAGGTAAATTGCAGAGCCCCCCCCCCGGCCCCCCAGTCCAAAACAGTCCAGTGGCACCTTTAAGACCTATTTTTATTCAGGTACAAGCTCTCCCTCCTCTGCACATCCCCCCCAATAGCTAGCAATTCAAAACAGTCCAGTGGAGCCTGAGTGGTGGGTGTTGCCTTCTGACACACTTCCGGTGATGCCAGGGAGTGTGGCATATGCAAATAAGTTATGCTAATGAGTTATGCTAATAAGCTCCTGCACCTCTTTTTCTACAAAATGACCCCTGATAGCATGTATCTTCAAAGGAAACCCGACCAAATGAATTTCAGAGAGAGGAGAGTAGCCTGAAGATGCTTGCTAGAGGTGGATTCCCTGATTTCCCCGCTTCTCACTGTAGGACCCGCCCGGTGATATTTTGTCCATGAAATCCCCACAATGCTCAGCATCAGCTTTTCGGGAGGCTTATTTATTTATTCAGTTTATATCCCGCCCTCCCTGCCAACGCAGGCTTCTGGGGAAGGGAGAAATGGACTCTTTAAGAATTGTTGTGATCCCCCCCCTCTTTTTGTCGTCAAGTGGTAGCCGACTTATAGGACCCTTTAGGCTTTTCAAAGCAAGAGACATCCCAAGGTGGCTTGCCATTGCTTGCCTGTGTGTAGCAACCCTGGTATTCCTTGGTGGTCTCCCATCTAAATCCTAACCAGGGCTCCCCTCACTTAGCTTCCGAGATCTGACGGGAGCAGACTAGCCTGGGCCATCTAGGTCAGAGCCGTCCTATGAACAGGGTCAATGAAATGTTATCACTGAATAGTTTTGCTTAGAGGGATTTTTTAAATAGAACTTCATTAATCAATTGCCAGGCTTTTCTTTTTTTAAATAATTTTTATTTAATTATAAAAAAGAGATAAACATCGTACACACCCCACTCCCCATATAGAAAACAACCTACGGTATACACATAACACCAACAACAAAACTACGAAAAAAGAAAAGTAAAAAACAAGCAAATTAAGGCATTGGTAGAGAGCTCAACATTCAGCAAAATCCCCTCCTTCTTTTTTCTTTTCCTATCTTTCCCCTTCTTTTTTCTTTTCCTATCAAAATGCATAATTAATGTATAGTTACAACATGATTAAGGTATAGAAAGAGGCTTATTTAACTTTATCCCATAATCTGAGGAAGGGCTTAAACATACTTTGGGTATTGTTCCGAGTTGTGTATAAAATAAAATTGTGCCACATTTCAAAAAAGTCTACCATTTTGGCTTTCGATTTGATTATTCTAATTTGACTTTTTAATTTTTCAGCTATTGCAGTCTGCCGTAACTCAGAATACCATGAGTGTAATGTTAATAATTTTGCGGCTTTCCAACTTTTAGTGACTGTCCTGCAATTGCCAGGCTTTTCTGAATTTTTAACATTTCTGGTGTGGTGATGTTTAGTTCCTTCAAATAGGTCAGAACTTCCTGAGGTACATTACTCTATCAGTTCTGGCAGATTGAACGGCACTTGTACCGTGCATTGTTCACTAGGGGTCAGCAGTGCTGCATTCAAGATTGCCAGCAGCCCTTGCTGTAATTCTGTCAGTGTGAAATATTGCGGAGAAGCTTCTGAGCTATCCAAACAAACTGGATTTCTCTTGTGGGTTTATTTCAGTCTTTTAAACATGCCTGTCAGACGTCAGAAATAATGAGCCCTGATGGGATTTGACACAACTGCTCAAAGAGAACTGGTAGTTTGTGCAACTTGTATCGTATGATGCCCAGCAGGAGTCGTCGCTCCTTACCTGAGTTGGGCCCTCGACTTGATACATCCTGCTCAACGATTTATGAAGTCAGAACTTTAAGGAATGCAGGGAACTAAAATGGCATTGGGCTGTTTTCTGAATCTGGGTGGAATATCTCTCCACGATACCTTCAGATGTTCTCCTCATAGTTAGTCTAACTTTAAAGTTTTGATCCTACCTAGAAGGAGAATTTCAGTACTCAGCAGCATTAGTTTTTCAATTCTCAGTGTACCGTATAATCCAGGTTCCAAAGGGCCAATCAGGCTTATCCAAGAAGTTGAACTAACCTAGTGGAATCCCCCCTAGCTTTGAACATTTGGATCCAGTGCCATATTACAAACTTTAAAAAAAAAATGTCAGTTTCAAAAGCAGGTTGCTGTGTGGCAAAGGTCTGCTAGTCAAGACAAGTATCTGTCCCCCCCAACTTGTGGAACTAATTTTGTAGCTGTAATGATTCCAGTTTTGGTGTGTGTGTTTCTTTAAATGTTTAGTGTGACTGCAGTAATGTAAGGAGAGTGATAGATAAATGTGATGTGACTGGCTGATGACTGAGAGTGTGGGAGGAGAGATGTCTCTGAGGCAATTCAGTGTTCATGAAGAGGTGAGTGTGAGAGTTTTTGTGAGAGTCTATATGACAGAGGAAGCAGTTGGAGTTTAGTTTAGCCTGTGTGGCTATGAGAGAGAGTTCAGCCTGTGTGGCTATATATGAAAGAGAGTTTAGACCGAGTGTCTAAACCTGTCAGAGTGGAGTTTTGGTGTATAGACTGTGTGTGACGCCAAGCCTTGTCAGCTATATTTTCTTTCTTCAACGACAGTTCAAAAATACCCAGAAACCTATTTTGTTATTTTATAAATAAATCATTATTTGCTTAAACTTATCCCAGCATTCAGAACAGTCCTTGCTCAGGGCCACATAGTCCTCTGAAAAGCCCAGACACTGGGTCATTCTACCAAAATAGAGAGATTTGGAATTTTTAATTCCTGGTGGCAGCAGAAATGTACTACGTTCATGTACACAGAGTGGTTCTTAAAGGAGAAACAGTCTCCCTAATAAGTGAGGACACCACAGTAGCACTTCTGGATCATGGCCATAGTCCACAGCAGGTGTCCCCAACGTGGTGCCTATGGGCACCAGGGTGCCTGCTGACATTTTTCCTGGTGCCTGCCAAATGTTTTAAGAAAGTGGGCGGGCTAGGCGGGGCTTTTGCCGAGCAAGGCTTCTGACTGGGCACTGGAAATGTAATGGGCAGTGCCCATTTGCAATTAATATTGCTTGGACAGCAGCTGCCAGTACAGCACAGGGATCTTTACAGTGTGACTGAAGGTAAGTTGCGGCAGCTGCGCCCACCAAACTGTGCTAAAATTCCAAAGGTGCCCAACGGCTCTAAAAGGTATCACAGTATCACAAAAAGGTATCACAGGGTGCGGTCAGACGGCGTGCTGGGAGCGGTTTAAATTGCTCCGGCCCTGTTGTTGTTTTTTTAACCTGGAGAATCGCGATCACACTCACCTCCTTGCTCCGGATCGCTGCGCAGCCACGTCGCACCCTGGGTGCGTTCACATTGGGCCATTTAGTCTGCTTTCGACCCACCTCAGAAATAGATTTTATCTGCGCGATCACACAGTCAACATCTGCCTCCTGTCCCCAGCCATCGCTTTCCAGCTCAAAACCGCTTTAACCCGGAGAATACCAGGTCCCCAAGTGGTGTTTTCCTGATTCTCTGGTTCCAGCCAAACTTTTCTGATGTCTATTGCTCCTGCAGTGTCGAGCCACTTCCGGTTTAACACCCCCCCACACTCGAAAGCTGCCTGAGGCTTCCGCTTTTCGCCTGCCATTTTTTAAAAGTGTTGGCGGTGTGTGCATAGGCGGAGGTCCGCCACCATGTTATTAAAAACGATGTTTAAACGGTGCCTAGTTTTAGCGTTTAGACGAGTTCGGGATCTCACGGAGGCCATTTTCGGGGTAAACGTTTAAAGGGAAGTGTCCCTTTAAAGTTTAAAGGGAAGTGTTACAGCAGTCGGGTCGAAGTGGAAATCGCTGTTCTGCGCACGTGCGGAAATTTTAGTTCTACAGACGGCTGCCTGTGCGCATGCCCAAACTGTGAAAGAGAGAGAAACAACACCGACGCACGCTCCCGTGTGTGGATGGCGGGGAGCGATGTGGCTGCGCAGCGATCTGGAACAAGGAGGTGAGTGTGATCGCAATTCTCCAGGTAAAAAAAAAACACATCAGGGCTGGACTGGAGCAATATAAACTGCTCCCAGCATGCTGTCTGACTGCACCCCCACAGTGTCAGATGTATTCCATGCCGTAGTGACAATATATTTACTCCAAAATAACATTTTTTCTTGCTATGTGTCAGATGTATTCCATACCACAATAGCATTTTTTCTTACAGCAACAAAAGTGGACTGGGCAAACTTGTGGTCATCGAATCTGTTTTGTTTTTCAAAATTCCAGAGTAAAAAAGCATCATTTACCTGTTAATTTTTTAAAAAAATTAACTTTCAGCTGTCTGAAGAAGAGAAAATCCAGCGCTACAGCATTCTCTCGGAGTTGTACGAGCGTATTGGGTTTCACCGCAAATCCGCTTTCTTCAAGCGGGTTGCAGCAATGCAGTGTGTGGCGCCTAGCATAACAGAGCCTGGATGGAGAGCCTGCTACAAACTTCTTCTGGAGACCCTTCCTGGATACAGTCTGTCTCTGGACCCTAAGGACTTCAGCAAAGGTATGCAGGAGGGAAGGAGAGAGGGCAGACATCAGTCTCCTTTTTTTAAAGTTGGGGGATGGAATATACTGAAAGCGTGTGTGTGTATATATATATGTGTGTATATTTATGTGTGTATATGTATGTGAATTTACACTGACAGTCATGAGCAGCATGGGCAGGAACGCACAGGAACGGTGTTCCGGCTGGCTCCCAAGTTGGCCACGCCCAGCAGGAACTAATTAGCATAATAGGCCACACCCAACAGCAGGAACTCATTAGGATTGGCTACTTTAGGGGTGTGTGACCTAACATGCAAAGGAGTTCCTGCTACCAAAAAGCCCTGGGTTTTTGACAAAAAACAAGGTAAACAGAATAACAAGTAAAAGGTGGGTGTGGCTGGATGACCACACTTCTGGTAACATAGGGGTGTGGCCTAATGTGCTAATGAGCTGTGCTGTCAGGGGTGTGGCCCAATATGCTAATGAGTTCCTGCTGTTGGGTGTGGCCTATTATGCTAATGAGTTCCTGCTGGGCTTTTTCTACAAAAAGAGCCCTGACTCATGAGGAAAACCTGTGCAAGCAAAGACAAATTTTAAGACATTGGGCTGGACAGGATAGAGTGTTGGCTCTTCCACCCTTCTGATGGTAGGTCTTATGTAGCAGCGGATCATCTGGTATATTTGATTTAAAAGGCTCACCCTGTGTTGGAGGAGAGAGTATTGGCAGGGTGCCACTTCAGTACAGGCAATTCACAGCAAGGTTCAAAAATCCAGTACACCTGGGTTACATTCATTTTTTAAAATCAATGCATATTAAGAGCATCTGCGGGGGTTTCTTTTAATACTTCATGCTAACCATAGACAAAGATATACCTGAAGAATAATCGCATGTAGTGGGGAAAACATGATGCTCGTGGGTATACGTGTGTGCACGGTGTGTAAAATGCATTGTTTTTGCTCTCCTTAAATAGTAATGGATATCGGTATAGAGATGCGGTCCGCGTTATAGTATCCGAAAGTACTCAAAAATATATAATAACTAAGGATGGGTGTGGACTGCATTTTTGCTGAACCACGGCCGAACCACGGACCTATACAAACCGGAAGGTTGGTTTGCGAACCAAATTGGTTCATATGGGTTCATGAATTCTACTTTCTGCTCCCTCCACTTTCCGCTTGTCCTTAAAGGACTGCATTTGTCTGTTATTTTTCTTTAATTTCTAGGTGGTCCTAATTGAAATTTTAAATTGTGGTCTTTTATGTATCTTTAAAAACAAAGAGATTATTGTTTTATTTACATTGTAAACTGCCTTGAGTTCTTTGAGGTAGAAAGGCAGCTAATAGGTATTTTAAATAATGAAATAAAGGTGAAATGATTTTTACTTATTTATTTAGTGTATTTTTACCCTGCTTTTCTTCCCAGGGACCCTAAGTTGTTTAAAATAATACAACACACCGTACAGAAACATACACAAATAATTATGACTGTTCTTGCAAATCTTAATGGGGGTTAATTTGCTTTTTTAAAAATAATTGTAGTGTTGAACCAACACTGAGCAACTAATTTTAAGTCCAATTTTCAGAGGATAAACAAATTTCTGTTTATCATTACATTAAGGCATTTGGGCAAATTATGTAACAACTAGAAAGGATCTGAGAGATATTACATCTTGGAAGTGAAGAATATCAGTGAACCTCAGATAGACTGCAGTGATTTGTGTTCAGGACTACAATGTAATTACCTGGTGTAATGAAAGATATGACTGATTTTTCCCCATATGGCAAAGAAGTATATATTATGTAGCAGAATATGGTATAATGATGTAGTGAACACAGAGAGTTTTTTGCTGGATGGTTTATGGGTATCCAGGCACCTTGGGCAGTCAACATTGAGGCCTTTAGCTTTAGTATTACTCTGCATGTATGGTGCCTTGGAATTAGTGTTATCTTCATATCTTATTGTGGTTCATTGCAGGCTGTCCCTGCACAGTCTTATAGCACAGAATGGGAGATCTTTGGGAGATCGACCGAATGAATGCCTCTCTGCTAACCTAGACCTTGCCTACTTGGCAGTCTCAAATTTCATTCATTCATTCATTCATTCATTCATTCATTCATTCATTCATTCATACCTCACCTTTCTCTCCAGTGGAGACCCAAGGCAGCTTATACCATCCTCCACTCCTCCAGTTTGTCCTCACAATAGCTCTGTTAGGTAGGTTAGACAGAAGGTAGGTTAGACAGAGTGTACATGTGACTGGTCCAACGTCACCTAGCCAGATTCCATGGTGGAGTGGGGATTCAGACATGCGTCTCCCAGATCCTTATCTGACACCAACCGCTATACAACCCTGGCTCTCTCTATAAATTTAAATGAATTGAGTACCTTTCCAAAAATACGCTTTTTAAAATTTGACTTTATATAGAGGCTGATTTGGGTATCTTGTAATGTAACATGTTTGTACCTTTTCAAAAGGAACTCATCGCGGCTGGGCTGCTGTGCAGATGCGTTTGCTTCATGAGCTGGTGTACGCATCGAGAAGAATGGGAAACCCAGCGCTTTCAGTCCGGCATTTATCTTTTCTCCTGCAGACCATGCTGGATTTTCTTTCTGACCAAGGTATCTTTATATATTTAATTGAAAATAAAGTACATGGTATGGTGAATGTATAATATTAAGAGATGTTTAAGATGAATGGCATAAGTTGTTTTAGAAAGCATGGGATCCAAACCGCTGTTTGGATACAAGCCGGTTTGACATCTGTCCCATGAGATTTTTTTTTTTAACTTGTATTCTTTGATCAGCAGCCTCTTCCTGTTGTATCACAAATCTGCTCTGTTTCTGATGCAGCTTAATATGTGGCATGAGTAGGTGCTTCTGTCTTTATGGAAATGTCCAGTTCGCTGACTCTTTCATGGTCATTGGCTTGTCAGAATGACTTTTAACAATTATTTATGTATTTATTTATTCTCCTTCAATTTACCGTATATCCCGCCTTGCCGGGACAAACTGTTGGATTTGATTAATAAACATCTGGCTATAGTGATTGTGATGGCCAGTTTGGTGTAGTGGTTAAGTGTGCGGACTCTAGTCTGGGAGAACCGGGTTTGATTCCCCACTCCTCCACATGCAGCTGCTGGGTGACCTTGGGCAAGCCATAGATCTGTCAGCGCTGTTTTCTCAAGGACAGTTTTAGAAAGAGCTCTCACAACCCCACCTACCTCACATGGTGTCTGTTGTGGGGGGGGGAGGGAAGGAGTTTGTAAGCCGCTCTGAGACTCCTTTGGGTAGTGAAGGGCAGGGTATAAATCCAATCTCTTCTTCTTCTCTTCTATGTAATTAAGAAGCACAAAGCTATATAGACTTAGGTCCCGTATCTCCATTCCACTTGTCCAAGCACTGTCAGCCATAGTGGATGCATTCCTTCGACACTCAGTGTTTTCCATTCATTTTCCACTTGCAAAGTGCCTAGTGCCAAAGGAAGGTGCTTCACAGCAGAGGACTGCCTCCATCCCAGGAGACAGCACTGCCCAGGCAAGCAGAAGGGAGATGCAGGATTCAACCCGTAAACCATAGAAGCTAGTTTGATGAGAAATCACTACTTGTGTATTTCAGTATTTAAAATGAATAACATCAAAGCCATGATGTAGTAAGTACTGGGATTTCAGAGATAAAGATTTCATTTGATATAGAAAGTAGGTATTCCTTTATTGTTTCCCCCCCCCCCCGTCAAAATGCCAGAAATATTCTTCTTGGTGTATGCTCAGTGGTAGAGCATCTGCTTGGCATGCAGAAGGTCCCAGGTTCAATCCTCGGCATCTCCAGTTAAAAAGGATCAGGCAGTAGGTGATGTGGAAGACCTCAGGCTGAGACCCTGGAGAGCTGCTGCCAGTCTGAGTAGACAATACTGAGACCTTGATGGACCAGTGGCCTGCTTCAGTATAAAGCAGCTTCCTGTGTAATATTGTAGGTGGTCGTGTAAGAATGAGATAACCAGGAACAGAATAGTCTAATGCATAACAGCTTTTAGAAATGTTGACATTGTTGGTTGGTGAGTACTTGATGACTGTTGGCTTCCTTTGTCGCAGATTCGGAGGCTGCAGCTGGTGCAGAATGCGGCAGCCAGGCTTATGTTTTTTGTACTGGGTTTCATGATACAGTATATAATTTATTGTATACTAGGAAAAAGGCCCGTTGTGGAAATAAATACAACGGCCTCTAGAAAGTGGCTCTGGGCGGGTGCCCCGGCGTTGGACACTCAGTGTCAATTTGCTGTGGTGACCTCAGCAGGGTATAATGACACTGAGTCCACCATTTTCTCCAGAGGAACTGATCTCTGCTACCTAAAGAACAGTTGTCATTTTGAGTGATCTCCAGCCCTCACCTGGAGATTGGCAACGATGGTTCCCCAGAAGGGAATAGTTAGTTTGGAGGGTGGAGTCTATGGCTTTGTACCTGTCCGAGGTCCCACACCTCCTGAAACCTCACCCTCTCCACGCTCCACCACCAACATCT